CTATATGGTGTTACAAATCAAGATAGTGGTTATTCTTGGCAGCAGGGTCTGTGATGGTTGGAAGGGGACACAATTGGGTATTTCTGTGATGTTAGCCATGTTGTTTCTTGATTAGGGTGCTGGTTACATAGTGTTCAGTTTGTGAGAATTCATTGAGGTGTACACTTTTGATTTGTACATATATATAAGTTATGCTTCCATTTTTTAAAAACTTAGGGACATGGCCAAATAGTACTCAAAAAAATGTAGGTTTAAGTGCATGTATTAGAAATAAAGATTGAAAATAAATTAACTAAGCTTTAACTCAAGAATGTAGAAAGAAAATAATAAAATTAATTCAATGAAGGTAACAAAAATGTATCGACAAAAGCATACATTTATAAAATATTAAATAAAACTCAAAAAGCAGATAACACAATGTGAGTAATCTGAAATAATAATATGAATAAAATTTTGGCAAACATGATCATTTAAAAAAGAGAAAAGGCAAAACAAGCAATATTAGTAAGACAAATGGAACATAACAAGAGATAAAGTGGAGACTTTAAAAATTACAAGAGAATACTATGTACAACCTAATACCAATTTGAAAACTTACAAAAAATGGACACATTTAAGGAAAATACAAATTACCAAAATTGGCCCAAAAATAAATGAAATACCTTGAATGGACCAAAAATCGTAAACGAAATTTTAATAGTATTCAAAATGCTCTAATATTCCCCCTCTGAAAAAGTCCCCCCTCTGAAAAAGTAAATGGTTTTACTGACACATTTTACCAAAGCTTCAATAAATCAGTACTTAAATGTAAATGAATAAAAAGAGTTCTGAAAGTATGCAACCAAACTGACAATAGTAGTTCATACTGGAGAAAAAAAGGTGAAAATTATGGGTAACAAAGAGATAATATTTTCATTTTTATAAGAAGAATGTGTTCATGTATTACTTGTATAATTTGTCATTTCCTAAGAAATTTTCCTACAAATTAAACACAAAAAGTCTTAATTCATATCTAAATTAAATACCTAAGCGAAATGGATAATTTCCTACATAATTAACAATGCCAACTCACAATCTACCACTTACCGGCTGTGTGACCTTTGACAAATTATTTAACCTCTCTGAGCCTCAATTTCTTCTGTAAATGATGGATAATAGTACATTCCTTATAAGGTTATTATATAAATTAAAATTAAATGAGTTAGACAATGGAAAGTGCTTAGCACATAGCATACGCTCAACAACTGTTCACTATCACCATTACTAGTTACTAATAAAATAAGAATATTTAGCCGGGTGCGGTGGCTCAAGCCTGTAATCCCAGCACTTTGGGAGGCCGAGGCGGGTGGATCACGAGGCCAAGAGATCGAGACCATCCTGGTCAACATGGTGAA